CTTTACCCTCATCCACCTGTTTGGTCACCTTCTCGAAGAACTCAATAAGGTTTGTGAGGCACGACCTACCCTTCACAAAACCGTGTTGACTATCCCTAATCAAATTATTCCTTTCCAGATGATTATAAATCCTATCTCTTATAATCCTTTCCAACACTTTACCCACAACCGAAGTAAGGCTCACTGGTCTATAATTACCAGGGTTGTCTCTACTCCCCTTCTTGAACAAGGGGACAACATTTGCTAGTCTCCAGTCTTCTGGCACTATTCCTGAAGACAATGACGACATAAAGATCAAAGATCATAGTCCTATGTCTTTCACCTGCACCAAACAGAACATTATTCTAACAGTGATGACAAGGTGTAGAGCTGGATAAACACAGCAGGCCAAGCAGCATCAGAGGAGCAGGAAAGCTGATGTTTCGGGTCTAGACCCTTCTTCAGAATTGGCATTCAGCCAAATGGTCACATCCAGACTGACTAAGGACACAGATATCCCTCCATCAAGGGCACTTGTGAACAAGATGGCTTTTTATAACAATTAAGGATAGGTGCCATGGTCAGTACTTCTGGGACAAGCTAGATTTTATTGGTCGAATTTAAACTTGAATCTGAATTTGAACTTATGTTCCCAAAGCAAAAGCCTGCACCTTCAACATGATATGAGTCCAGATTACAGATGTTACAGATTATATGTTCATTGGCATCACCACAATGTCACACTGTCCCCATGAGTGGCTCTTACCATACGCCACAATCACTTTGCTCCTCTGATGTGAGCTTTTTATTGATTCTCCAACACCACCCAAGTACAAACTATACCATCATTTATGGCAGAGCTGCCAGCTACCTTAAATTCTGAATTCCTTCCCACATAGCTTACCTCTTATGTTTTTAAGGGTGGCATTCTGTTACATAGCCTCTTTCAAGTTTGAAATGTGTTTTCAACAGGAAACCCCATTTGGAAATATCTCATATTAATCATGTTAGACAATTTCGTGGTAATCCAATTAGTTTAGTTAGCAACATCTTGCTGTTGTTTGACTTTCAGGGTTATCGAAAGTGTAAAATCCCAACCCTCCAGGATAGATGGGAAAGCCAATTGTGAATAGTGCTATATTGTACTGCTGATCACAGTTTAATGCATTGGACTAAGTTTGCCTTGAAATGCTTACTTACATGTGCCCTATGATTGCAGCTGCCTCGATATATATTAGATATATTAAAAAGGTCAATATTGGGCTGAGAAATGGCATATGGAGTTTAATTCTGATAAATGTGGGTTATAGAGTCAGAGATATACAGCATGGAAACAGACCCTTTGTCCAACTTGCCCATTTTCCAGCGTTTAGCCCATATCCCTCGAACCTTCCTATTCGTTTACCCATCCAGATGCCTTTTAAATGTGGTAATCATACCAGCCTCCACCACTTCATCTGGCAGCTCATTCCACATACCTACCACCCTCTACATGAAAACGTTGCCCCTTAGATCCCTTTTATAACCTTCCCCCTCACCTTAAACCCATGCCCTCTAGTTTTGGATCCCCCACCTCAGGGAAAAGACCTGTCCTATTTACCCTATCCATGCCCCTAATGATTTTATAAACTTCTGTGAAGTCACCCCTCAGCCTCCGAATCTCCAGGGAAAATAGCCCCAGCCTATTCAGCCTCTCCCTTTAGCGCAAATCCTCCAACACCTGGCAACATCCTTGTAAATATTTTCTGAACCCTTTTAAGTTTCACAACATCTTTAAAGCAGGGAGACCAGAACTGAATGCTGTATTCCAAAAGTGGCCTAACCAATGGCCTGTACAGCCTCAACATGACTTCCCAAATCCTATACTCAATGCACTGACCAATAAAGGCAAGCATACCAAAATGCCATCTTCACTGTCCTATCTACCTACGACTCCACTTTTAAGAAACTATGAACCTGCACCCCAAGGTCTCTTTGTTTAGCAACAATCCCCAGGACCTTACCATTAAGTGTACAAGTCCTGCCCTGATTTGCCTTTCCAAAATGCAGCACCTCACATTTATCTAAATTAAACGCCATCTGTCACTCCTTGGCCCATCTGATCAAGATCTTGTTGTTGCATTTTGGCAAGACAAATCAGGGCAGGACTTAAACAGTTAATGATAAGGCCCTGCGGAGTGATTTTGAACAGAGACACCTGGGGGTGCAGGGACATAGTTCCTTGAAAATGGCATCGCAGGTAGACAGGGTGGTGAAGGCAGCATTTAGCACGTGTGCCTTCATTGGTCAGAGCATTGAGTGCAGGAGTTGAAGGATGTCATATTACAGCTGTTAAAGACATTGGTGAGGCCACATTTAGAGAACTACAGACAATTCTGGTGCCCTGCTCCAGGAAGGATGTTATTAAAGAGTGCAAAAAGAACATTACCATAACTGGAGGGTTTGAGTTATAAGGAAAGGCTAGATAGGCTGGGACTTTTATCCCCTGAAGCATAGGAGGCTGAGGAGTGACCTTCGAAAACAATCATGAGGGACATAGATAAGGTGAATACCCAAGGTTTTTTCCCAGGGTAGGGAAGTCCAAAACTAGAGGCCAAAGGTTAAAGGTGAGAGAGGAAAGATTTAAAAAGAACCTGAGGGGTAATATTTTCCACACAGAGGGTGGTGCATGCATGGAATAAGCTTCTAAGTTGGTGGTAGAGGTGAGTACAATTACAACATTTAGAAGCCATTTTTGGACAGGTACATGGACCAAACACAGGCAAATGGGACAAGTTCAGTTTCGGAAACCTGGTCAGCATGGACACATTGAGCCGAAGGGCCTGTTTCTGTGCTGTGTACCTCAATCACTCTGAGGTGGACAGTCAGGGAATCAAGAGTTATGTGGAAAAAGCTGGAACGTGGAGGTGAGGATTATCAGATCAGCCATGATCACATTGAAACGTGAAGCAGACTTAATGGGCTGAATGGCCTGTTTCTGCTGCTAAATTTTATGGCCTATGCATCTATACACTACACTTAAATCAAATGATGGGTTCCCTGCTGGGCACCAAACCTAAACTAAACAAAATCAATATACCAGACATACCAAGTTTACAATTTATTCATGTTCAGACTGGGCCCTAAAGGGAGGGGTTTTACACAGAGGTGTACCCACTATGATGTGGTGAACCACTCACTGTCGTCACTTACAATCAACCTTCCCTCTAAGCTGCACGGCTGTGTGCCCATGCAGCCACCCTAATGTTTCACACACAGCTATCTGCATGCCAACGTGGATCACAGCATTGACTTCCAGTTCTGGAAGTCTCTGATGCAATCATGGACTTCAGAGATCTGTGCAGAAAAAAAAAATTAGAGGGAGTGCTGTTTATAACTATAAATGATCAACTTGGAGATGGGCAAGAGGAGCAGGAGAAAGTGAAGAGTTACTATGAGCTGAAATCCACTGCAAAGAATAAAACATGCCTGGTAGGGCAGGAGCAGGGGAGGACAAATAACTGGATTGTTTTTCAAAGAGTTTGCACAGGCAAAACAGACTGAATAGCCTTGCTCTGTACTATTCAATTGTCAGCTTTAGCAGGAAAAAGATGAAAGAGAAAAGTAAAGAGAAAATAGATTAATCTTAACCTCACTTCTATTATGAAACAACAGGAACCAAATGAAATGAATGAAAAACTTACCAAAAGACTGTATCTATAGGAGTGAGAAACCAGGGCTATGATCGACTGAATGAGTGCACGTTGCTTGGGCTCTGAAAATGAGGAGGAAACTGCAGTAAATTAACACTGAGCTCTTTGGTATGGTAGTTATCAGAATTCCTATAATCATATCATGAAACTGGAACATGCTTCCTGTATATTACGCCGGGAAAACTAAATTGAAATACACAGTGAAGAAATCTAATTACAAGATTCAAAATCATTAGCCTCAATTTAAAGTGGGCATCTTGCCATTTATTTTGATTTTCTGCTTTAATTATCATTTACAATATTGCCCCAAGATTGCATGGCGTGCTGCAGTATACTTTTGCTGGTGGCACCTGCTCATTGATTTAAATGAAAATGAACAATTAACTTTAGCATCTTCCAGCTTCACATTTCTTTCAAGCATTTGATTCTACCTGACTCATCTACAAAGGGTCTGAACCTTAGCTGTGGTGCAGTTCTCTGGAAACCTGCTGTTTTCATATCCTTCATTCAAGTGAGTGCTGGCAGATTATTAGATTATCAAACCATCATAGCCAGATCTCTGTGTTTGCCCAATGTCCACGTGCATCTAATGTGTCATTCCACAATAACCAGGATAACCCAGTGAAATGACCATTGGGCGATTAACATACAACCATAACCTTTAATTTCCCTTTCTACTTTCTCCATATAACTATTCACACAACTTTCAGTCACATAACCTTCAGAAACAATTCCTCTCCTCATCTTGTACTTAAGAAGTTGACTCCTAACTTTAAAAACAGAGCACCATGGTTCTACATTCACCCACAGAAGGAAACCTTTTTCACATCCACCTTGTCAGTACCATTCAGGATCTTTTAAATTTAAATCAAATCACCTCTCGCTCTTCTGAATGCTAGTAAAAATAATCCCAGCCTATCAAATCTTTCCTCATAACTCGCTTGTTTCAGCTATCAATCTAGTAAATCTCCTCTCAACTGTCTTCAATGCATTTACAATCTTTCTTAAATAAGGTAACCAAGGAAGCATGTACTATTGGAATAAATATTAATTGAGGTTCTGAGCATTACAGAAGAGTCCCAACCTGAAATGTCAGCTTTCCTGTTCCTCTGATGCTGCCTGGCCTGCTGTGTTCCTCCAGCTCCACACTTTATTATCTCTGACTCCAGCATGTGCAGTTCTTGCTATCTTAGCTCTGCTATAACGTGTGTTTTGCTAACATGAATTGGCTATAACACAATTGATGAATAGTGGACACTGTTTGGATAACGTAAACTTCCTGCTGTACAGGTATAGCGATTTCCCTATAACGCGATTTTCTATAGCGCGAGGTCACACAAGAACACAACTATTGTGTTATAGGAGAACTACCTGTATTCAGATTATATGATTAGCCATGGAAAAGATATTAACCCAGACTCCAACCCTTAGGCTAATACATCTCAATGTTAATTTTACACCTTGAGTAAAGTCTAATGTTGAAATTCTGTCCAAACATTATGTCGTTATCATTAAATTAGAGGGAAATTAGATATACAGCAGTGCACTTTACTATTGTACAATGCATTTCTAGTACAGTTTGAACTTAGCATCTCCAAATTGCCACTCCAGTTAATGAGTGGGTTTCACCCTTTATAGTCTCTGCAAACATATTGGAAGGAAAAACCCACAACTGTCTGCTGAACATAAGAAACATTTCACAAATAATAACTTTACTAAAATTCTAGAGGTAATACTGGAGCTGCTTTACTGAATGTCTGTAAATGTCTCCTGGGCCCTGCCCTCTGTAGGGCCACAGTAACCAATGGGAAATGGGATTAATTTTAAACGTTTCTTGATAAATGTTGAAAATAATCTAGATATAACAGAAAAGTATTCCAAAATTAGCAAGCAGAGCTGAAAATTAACATGAATATCATTTGTTCAATGCTTGAATCCCAAAGAAAATGAACTCAGTGCATTTTTATGGAACAGCATATGTAAGATCCTAGAAATTCTCAGGATAGATGGACTTTTCAGGTAATAACTGGAGTAAATATTTTAAATTTTCAAATACTTTAAAATAACTTTTTGCATATGAACAATTTTTGTATTTATACAAGATGGTATATTCTAAATACAGATAACACACACCGATAACCCCTTTACCTAACCACTGAAGTCATCAAGACAAACATCTTGACCTACCTCATCTTTTGCAGTAATTGTGCATGCTACAAGGGGAGACCGTGGTGGGGAAGCATTCACACTGTTGAGAGTGACAGAAAAGTATTTGGGGTATGTAAAGTCAGAATTATAAGCACAGAAAATAATCATTTATTCGTGTTTCTCCCTCTTGCAGTAATCTTTGCTGAACTTTTTTTGAACATGCTAAAAATGACTGCAATTGGTTTCCACGGTTGCAGACTACTTTCTGATACCTTACATAAATTATTATTCTTCATGAACCTCGTTAGCAGCCTACTTGTCATCCAGCAGGTGCCTCTCAAATTAGCTCTGAAAAGGTAAAGGTCAGACCAACCTTTTCTTTTCATAGGCCAGGATTTAGTGACTATCTTTACTTGGCTGACATCAGCTAACTTGAGCATTGAAACCTGGGACTATCCTAAAACTCTATGGATTACCAGACACAAATTTATTTATACTTAAGCCATGAGGAAAATGAATAATGTCATAAAATTGCACAATATCAGGAAGTTGAAGTATTTGCTCTGCAATGTCCTCACTGTAATGGCTAGCTTGAAAGTTAGGGATACGTACATTCCACTTGGGGACCCTGCAGCCCTCTGGACTCAAAATCAAGTTCAATAATTTTAGGGCCTTAACTCTCCCATGTCCCAACCCCCTACCCCACACACCATGCCTTGTTACCACATAGCCTATCATTACACACCACCTGCTGTTAGTCACTAATAGTCCCCAGTAACAACTATTCACCCTCCCAGCCTGATCGTTATCAACTGTTTGTCCAACTGTTCTTCTCTCTCTTTAGGCTCTATCCTATCATTTACTCCCTACCCCATCCCCGTCCCTTTTTTCTGCATATAAACCGACGTTTTCCCAGCCACTATCAGTTCTGAGGAAGGGTCACTGGACCCGAAACGGTAACTCTTTTTTTCCTTGACAGATGCTGCCAGACCTGCTGAGCTTTTCCAGCAACTTTGTTTTTGTTCCTGATTTACAGCACCCGCAGTTCTTTCGGTTTTTATACGTACATATCAGTTTCCAGCTTTCATCAGATGGTGACACAGAATGGTTACTGAAGAGAGGCACATGTTTCATTGAATTGGATAGGTAATATTCATTCATATTGAACTGTATCTAAATTAGATGCAAATAAGGAATTAAACAGGGAAGGTAGCAGTATTGTCACAGGACCAGTAATTCAGAGACCCACATTAATTCTCTGGGCATGAGTTTGAATCCACCGTGGCAGATGGTAAAATTTGAATCAATGAAAATCTAAATTAAAAGCTACTCTCATAGCAATCATGTAACCATTGTCAATTGTTTTAAAACCCCAACTGGTTCACTGATGCCCATCAAGGAAGGAAATTTGTCATCCTCGCCTGGTTCTACCTACACGCGACTCCAGCCCCACAATGTGGTTGACTCTCAACTGCCCTCTGAAATGACTCTTGCAAGCCATTCAGTTCAAGGGGCAATTAGGGAAGAGCAATAAGTGCCAGCCCACATCTCAAAAACAAATCAGACTTTTTTAAAAAATTAAACAGACCAATGAGCTTCCCAAAGCTAATAAGTGGTTTTTCAGTTTTATTAACATCCTGCCATTGACTTAATCATTTACAATTTTCCTCTTTCTGGGCATCTAACATACAACCTCCTAAGCAGTTCTCCATGCCCACCCACTCCAACCCAACACATTCTACAAAGTTCATAGTGGACCATAGTCCAAATTCATTCATCACTAAGGCCAAGGCGCAAGCAATCTGATGAATTCAACTGACCAACTTCTTCAAGTCAGATATGATTCAAAGTTGATTTTTCAAAATATACTCACTGATGGCCTAAGAATTGGGTGCATACCAGTCAAAGATTGAAAGAGCCTGAGCTACTAAGTTTAGAAAAGAGAGTGAAAATGGAGGAGTTACCTGATTAAGGCCAGGCAAGGGTTTGATAAGATAGACGTAAAGAAAAGATTTTTACTGTTACTAACTCAGGTTGGAGGAGAGCAGTGTTGGTGTAATGTTACCACTTCATGGGTCACAACAAAAATATTTTTCCCACATTATCAAGGTGACCAATTAAATACCTTCTATATATTAGGTTTTAAACAACAAGAACAATCAATCCAGTTTCTTAATAAACAATTACTGTTTTATTAAAATACAAATTACTCTGTAAAGCAATAATGGGTTAACAAACAGGTCACTAAGAGAAATATAAGTTCTCTCTAAATAGCCCACACACACACAAAATTATAAACAATCTTCAAATGGAAAAGAGATTTCACTACTGAGATTGGCTTTCTCAAAAGATAATGGGCTAATAAATTATTCTTGAAATCATAGATTCATTGAATCATAGAGATATACAGCAAGAATTCAGACCCTTCGGTCCAACTTGTCCATGTCAGCCAGATAATCTAAATTAATCTAGTCCCATTTGCCAGCATTTGGCTCATATCCTTTTAAACCCTTCCTATTCATGTACTCATCCAGATGCCTTTTAAATGTTGCAATTGTACCAGCCTTCACCACTTCTTCTGGCAGCACATTCCATGTACACACCACCCTCTGAATAAAAACACTCTCCCTTAGTTCCCTTTTAAATCTTTCCCCTCACACCTTAAACCTATGCCCTCTAATTTTGAACTTCCCTACCCTCAGGAAAGACCTTGGCTATTCACCTTGTCCATGCCCTTCATGATTTTATAAACCTCCAAGGTCACCCCTCAACCTCCAATGCTCCAGGGGAAAAACCCAGTCTATTCAGCCTCTCCCTATTGCTCAAACCCTCCAACCTCAGCAACATCCTTGTAAATCTTTACTGAACCCTTTCAAGTTTCACAACATCTTTCCTAGAGCAAGGAGACCAGAATTGAATGCAAGATTCCAAAAGTGGCCTAACCATTTTCCTGTACAGCTGCAACATGACCTCCCAACTTCTATACTCAGTGCACTGACCAATAAAGGCAACTGTACCAAATGCCTTCTTCACTAGCCTGTCTACCTGCAACTCCACTTTCAAGGAACAATGAGCCTGTTCCCCAAGGTGTCTTTGTTTGGCATTACTCCCTAGGACCCTACCATTAAGTATATAAGTCCTGCCCAGATATGCCTTAACAAAATTCAACAGCTTACATTTATCTAAATTAAACTCCATCTGCCACTCCTCAGCCATCAGCCTATCTGATCAAGGTCCTGTTATACTTCGAGGTAACCTTTTTCACTGTCCACTACACCACCAATTTTGGTATCATCTGCAAACTTACTAACGATTCCTCCTATATTCACATCAAATCATTTATATAAATGACAAAATCAAATAGATAAAGCATTGAATGTTCTAAAATCTCACATACTGGTACATGCAGCCAAGACACTAATTACACATGGTGACTCAGTCTTGCGGACACAGCTTGCTCAGAAAATACAATCTTGACATGATCCTCCAATTACTCTTTAAAAGAGTTGAAATAGGTTTCACCCTGAACTGAACAAGTTGATTTTATTTTCAGAAATGGGAGCGCTTAGCTGGGATGCTTATCCTTGACAGGCTTTCCTCCAAACAGATTAGATAAATCAAGAACATCTCCAAGCTAGTCGCTGTTCAAAACACTCCCAGGAGTGGTCCATAGCAAAGCAAACAGTTTCTAAGGTTTTAGGGTAGAGTAGATTTGTAGCTCAGGTTGTGGATGTTGTGGTTGGTTGGCTCGCCAAGCTGGTTCATTGTTCCGCAGACATTTCATTACCCTGCTGGATAACATCATCAGTGCAGCCTCCCTTGAAGTGCTGTAGAGTTTTCCCACCTGTAATTTAAACTCTGGTGTCTGTTGAGCTGGATTACCTCACTTCCGGTTTTTCTTCGCAATGGAATGTATATGGGGCCTAGCTCTCAGTGGTTATTGATGGCTTTCTTAGTGGAGTACCAGGCTTCTAGGAATTCCTGTGCTTGTCTCTGCTTTGCCTGTCTGAGGATCCTGATGTTGTCCCAATCGAATTGGTGATTTTCCTTATCCATGTGGATGGAGATGATGGAGTATTGGTCATGTCATTTCGTTGCTAGTTGATGTTCATATACCCTTGTGGTTAATTTCCTTCCTGTTTGTCACAGTCTTTGCAGGGAATCTTGTATATAACATTGGTCCTGTCCATAGTGGGTAGTGGATCTTTGGTCTGGGTGAGCAGTTGGCATAGGGTTGATATGGATTTGTGTGCTACTCTGATGCCCAGTGGTTGTAGGAGTCTTGTGGTCAGTTCAGATGTATTCCTGATGCAAGGTAACATTTAATAATGACTAAGGTGTCGTCCACGTAGCAACCAAAACTATGGATACACTATGTGGATGACACCTTCGTCATCATTAAATGAACCAAACTAGAGGAGACACGTGAACTAATAAACAACACCCTCACTGGGATCAGATTCACCAGAGAAGAGGAGAAGAACAAACAGCTCCCATTCCTGCACGTCATGGTAGAATGAAGGACCAACGGGGAATTCCTAACAAAAAAGGTACACTGGAAAGCCATACACACTGACCAAGTACTGAATTTCCACAGCAACCACCCTAACACACACAAACGAAGTTGTGTTAAAACATTATTTAAAAGGGCAACGACACACTGCAACAGCACAGAACTTCACCAAGAAGAAGAGGAGTACCTCTTCCAAGTATTCAAAGACAATGGATACCTGAAAAACTGGGTCAGAAGATGCCTATCATAAGACCGACACCAGAAAGATACTACACGCCCCGACACACTCATCAAGCTACCTTACATCAGGAACACATCGGAACTGACATCCTACGACTACTGGGCATCAGAGTAGCACACAAACCCACATCAACCTTACGCCAACTGCTCACCCGGACAAAAGATTCACTACCCACTATGGACAGGACCAATGTTATATACAAGATTCCCTGCAAAGACTGCAACAAACACTACATTGGTCAAACAGGAAGGAAATTAACCACAAAAGGGTACATGAACATCAACTGACAACAAAAAGACATGACCAATACTCACTCATCTCCATCCCCATGGATAAGGAAAACCAC